ATGTTAGGGAAAAAGAATAGACAAATCTCTTAATTTATTTAAAAGTATTATCGTCATACAAGAAATTTGTTTATGTGTTTTTGCTTGCAAAACTATCCCCACCATCCTCATTAATTTCCATTTCTTGATCAATATCTATCTAAAGAACAAATTAGTTAATGCACTTTTGAACTTTGATTATCACCAGGAATTGGAGAAGTTTTATAATGATTTATACTTGAGTTTCAGCATATATGAAATTTCAAAACAATATGTATTTTTTTTTGTACAAAAAAACTGTAATACGAAAACAAAAAAAATGTTGTAAGAATTAAAATTTGAATCTAAATTTATTAGATGCCACATCATATTTTTTGTTATGATCAAAATTAATTAATCAGTGTATAAGTGTTGTTAGATCTATACTCAATGTTTAATTAAATTATTCATTAATTACCTGATGTGATAATTATTAGGTCATAAAAGTTGAAACTACTAATCTATACCCTTAGGTATAAAACATATAGATACACTCTTAAAAAAAAAAAAAGTTAAACAGTCATTTCTGGTTGGTGTAGTTGCAACAATCTTCAACAATTTCAATATACGTAATTATATGTCAAATTTCATATATTTTTCACTTATCATTTCTCCTCGATATATAAACAATTAATCCGGTATTGTACAAATTTTTTTTTTTTTTTTGGAAGGCAAAATGGAACCGAAAAAAATAGGAGTACCTAAAAGGGAAACTCCATAGACCAAATGACAACAATTTTAATGGCAACAATTACAGCTAAGCTACCAAGTCTTGTGATCGAGAGACCCCTGCTTTGACTAATTCATCAGCAAATAGAGTTAGTCTCTCAAGGAATGTGACTGATTAAGACTCCTATAATTTTGAACTCAAAGTGACAATGAAAAAAATTGGGTTGTTGTATGGTAGAGCTAAGAAGTACCAAATATTTTCCTGAGTCACAAATATAAATTAATTTTTCTCTTCAAAAAAGTTCTGAGTGAAAATAGAAAAAAAATTATTGCATACTAAAAATTTAAATCTCAGATCCGATAGATATTATATTTTAATAGTGATTATATGAAATTTTATTATTTCACTTATGGAAAAATTAAAATTAAACTAACTAGCTGCTAGTAATGGTACTTTGAAAGTATTTCTTGCCAAAAGTTATTTCTTTACTAACTAGATACAGAAGTAATTAGTCCATTTTTTTCCTTTTATAATATGAAGAAATTAAGTGCAATTTTGTGATCAGATGTTTATCTAACCAACTAATTATCTCAAATCTTTATATATTTAAAGGACAAAATGGGGGTCCTCAATTTTTTTGTATTTTTGTGAGAGTTAAGTGTGTGGAGCATTTCCAGTGGCTAAAGCTAAAATCAGTTTGACGCAGACCATGCCCTAAGCCTAGCCTCTAGTTTCTATTTATAGCATATTATCAGAATTCGAACAAATTAATTCACTCCTAACTTTATTCCTTTCCTAATGAAGCGATGAGGATGTTGAAGTCTAGATTTTGAATCAAGCTCATTCACTTAAAACAATCATTTTTTTCCTCAAATTTTTATATATGTCAAATATTCTTCATAGCTCATTTGCTCTCCTGTTTGCAAATTGCAAAATGTTTGGTAAGTGATCGAGTGCAACTTGTTTGAATACACGAGAGGAGACCCACAAAATCGACGATGTTTTCTAGCTTTTGCTCATAATTTTTGACCTCAGAATAATTTGTGATATAAGGACGGCCATTTCTTTTCCTATTTGAAAAACGAATGAAAGTATATATAATCAAAGTCATAGCAACCTGTATTGGCACCGAAAATTAAAGCTGTGGACTCTAAAACAATAAGAAGATGGGGACAAGACAAGAGTATGCTACTATGATAACCAAAAAAAAAGTCTTTGTTTAGGTAGGAAGAAATTGATGGGTTGATGAAGAAATGGCCCCACAATTTTCTTACAAAACCCATGTTTAATTATCTCATAGAATCCTGTTTTTTGGTTAATCGTATAATAATTATTAACAATGAGAGGAATCTCTTAAGACCTTATTAACAAAGGTCAAACAATTAGTTTAATCACCAAAGAAAGAGAATATGTAAAGAGTTTTTAGTTTTTACAACAAAGGAGACAACTGTCAAAGGAGAATTCATTATTCATGGAAATAAGAGAAAAAAGAAGAAAAAAAGGTGGAATGGTCACATGATATATGCAAAAGTCGCATCTGTATCCATAATGTCATGAGAGACTCTCCTTTTTGCATTATAAAGAACAAGTGCAGTGTCAACATATGGTTGATTTTTTTTGTTTGTTTTGATTTAAAACCATGAAGATGAGGGTCTCATATATAATAGTATATAAATTTTTTATGACTTAAATTCCACGGTTCAAGGAAACCCAAATTACATGTGTCCACAGACCAAGTTGAAAAAAACCTTACCCAGCTTCTTTTTCTTCTTCTTCTCTCTCTCTTGATCATTAGTTTAGAGGAAGACAAAGTTGAACCCAATCTCTTCCTTTCTATATATATACTCCTCATCAACTCTCAAGTTGAAGGTTATCTGATGATCAACAACTTGGAAGGAATATAGGCTTCAGGAATCTTCAGCATAAATGGTTTGTATCTTTAAGGGGAAAAAAAAAGAAAAAGAAAAGACATGATTTCTTTGTGTTAATTGATTTCTTAATTTTCTTTTGGTTCTAATTTCTAGTTTCTTCTTGTTAACTCAAGTTTTTTCATAATTCTTTTAGGGCAGTTAATTGTGTTATTTTCTTTCGGAGTCTATGGATTGATCTTTTTTTCTTTTTCCCTTAAATTTTAAAGGTAGGTTATAGATTTTTTTTACAAGTATTCTGGAAAAGAAATGAAAGGATTTTCTTGAATGAATGAAAGATGATGTTTTCCAGTATCCTAGATATGAACTGCTTCCCATTTCTTCAGAAGTCAATCTGAAGAACTATATAGTTCATGTTTAGACACAACTGAAACACAGTTGCTACTTGCTACCTGAAGGTGTTTTTTTTTTTTTTTTTTTTGAGCAAATTTTATATAAAGGATTGGGCAAATCTCAAGTGTAAATTAATTTAGCTAACTCTTTTCATTGGATGCCATTCTTCACTGTTTTCATTCTAATGAAATATCAACAATCTTTACAGATGAGAAATCTCCCCTCTTTCTATCTGATCTCTTCCCCCTTCTGTTCTAATAAAAACAGCAGTGCAGTTGGGAATTTCTCAGTTTTTCTCTTCATGATTTACTTGTGTTCTAAACACAATACGTATAGAGCAGAATCCAAACTCCACTAGTACTATTTTTCCTACAAAACGTTTGGGTTATGAATTACGCACTTACCATTTGCTAATTGATGTTACTGTAACCCAATATCTTCCTCGGTACGATGTTGATTAGATTTTTTGTCAGATCAATATAATATAGCTGCAGATTGTTTCCATCTGCTATGGCAAATACACCACTTTTGCAGAAACTGGATGCCTAGAAGTTTCAAAAATCCTTAAGGTTGGCTTCACTTTCTCACTCGAGCAAGATTTAGATCAATATGTAAGTGTGACGTATGACACTCATTTTTTTTCTGTCATGCATTAATGCTTTTAGCAATAATGTTTTCACCAAAATAAATATATATTTATAGTTATAAATAAATATATATTTATTTATATATGTTGAAGTATAAAGCAACCTGTTGGATGAAATTGTCTGGTATTTGTTTTTTTATGAGAGAGAACTCGGTCGAATGTTGTAATTTGTCTACGTTTAATTTACTTCACAAAACACCACATTCTTCTTAGACAAAACTCATTAAATTTGAAACTACTTCCATTTACAAAGGTGGATGATTTTGTTTGTGCAAATGGTTTCCCCTATTAATTTCCTGACAAATAAAATGCTGTGCACTCCGCAATAAGTTAGTGCAGTTAAACCTATCACCTAAAAATGTCCTCACATCCATAAGATCGAATATGGGGAGCAGTTGAAATCTTTTAAACCACAGCAAATGTTGGATATTGCTACTTATTGCATTTCGATGTACATTTCTACTCCTTGCTATAAACTTCATCTAAAAAATTTAAATGTCTCCAAGTGCTGGGGGTATGGCAAAATATATATATATATATATGTCATATTAGATAATTAATTAGTACTGCATTAATATTGAGGATGCAGGTTTATTGTCTTAATTTTCATTTATGAAGTCATTACAGATTTAATGGCAAGGCAACCCATATGTAAACCTGAAAGAGGATTTATAATTAGCACTTTAATTAGGGATTATATGAAAATTTAAGCCTTTTAATTACTTTCAATTAGTGTATAAAAGGAAACTAAACCTGACATTTCTAAAATATTCTACTTCAGCGCATGGGATCTCTACATGTTGTGCTATCTGTGATAAGAATTTTCTTTGGGAAAAGATAAATGGTATTATAAAGAAAATTTTTAATTTGTTTTTTTGAAACAAGGGAAGCTTTCATGGTAGTAAAAAAGATTTAAAAATGTACTTTTGGAATATATTTGATAGAAATACTGACATCTTTCAGTATTTTCTTTGATTTTAACTTCTAGTCATTGTAGCTTATCCAAAGTCCAAACCAACAACCAGAAGAATTTCGGAGAAACTTGTTTCATAAAACTAATTTTATTGCATGGTCCAAGTTTTACATTAATGTTGGAATTGGTAGGTTGCATAGAAGCATATGTCCTTTATTATTCATAAACGATGGGTTAAATGTAAAGAAAAAAAATGGTATGAGCGAGGATTCTACTGCAACTTTGAACAATATTTTCATCTTGCAAACCAATGTTACACATATAGAATAAACGGATTTGACAGTTAGGCAATAAGGGCATTAATAAATAAAATTCAAGGTGGTATTTTTTTTTCTCTGATCATCTTCAAGGAATTTGGGGCATAACAATAGTTTCATTTCACTTGTTTTTTAATACCCTTCCTCCCTTTTCTATTTCTATCAGCAGAAAGCAATGGTAGAAGGCATGATAGAGATGCATGATGAAGAAAAGAGGGTTGATAGTGAGGAGCAAGCTGAAAACTTGTCTGCAGTGTCTTCCCAGAAGTGTTCATCATTCGACTTGAATGAAGAAGCTAGCAGCGAAGAGGATTATTATAATATAATTGTCAAGGAAGGTGAAGTCATGAGTGTTGAAGAGGATGAGATCGAGAAGAGAACTGAAGGGAGTTCTAGCAATAACAATATTGGCGAAGGTGGGAGTGATAGAAGAACAGTAAGGCACTATGTTAGATCAAAATTGCCTCGGCTTCGATGGACTCCTGATCTCCATCTCTCTTTCATGCATGCTGTTGAAAGGCTTGGTGGACAAGAAAGTAAGTTCAAACATTAGTGTCATTCATATTTCTTTTTCATTTTAACGTTCTTATGATCTTGATTCAAGAAAGAAAAGTAAAACAAGAAGGATTTTCAAGTTGATTTACCGTACTTTGTTTGGTTTAATTTGTTGCAGGAGCAACTCCAAAGTTAGTTCTTCAATTGATGAATGTGAGGGGACTTAGCATTGCTCATGTAAAAAGTCACTTGCAGGTTAAAAAAACAAAAGAACATTTTGATTTGATATTTCCTTGCCGAACTCTTAAACTTTTCGATCCATTATTTCACATGTCTTAACTTTCTATTCCTGTTTCAGATGTACAGAAGTAAGAAACTTGATGAGGCTGGACAAGGTGAAGTTCCTTTTTCCTTACTAAATGATTTACTACTTTAATAAGATCATGTCATTGTATAAATTAATCAAGAGTGAAAGCATAGAGCTTGCAATAAAAAATCAGAATACATCTTTGAATCCTCAAGTATTATATTATTAGAATCAGATATTCTACCATTTAACTAGGAAAACTTTTTTAATTCTAGAAGGATAAATTTTTAGGTTAGAACAAGACTAGGCATAATTCATTAAAAAAGTATCAAATAGTGCATACCAAAAGAAATAAATTTATTATATTTGATATACGGTCAGAATATATATTATATATACTATCAATTAATCATAAATTGACACTTCATTAATAAATAAGATTGAAATTTTAAAAATTTTTAAAAATAAATGTCAATAAATTAGCATTTGATCGCTTAAAGATTATTGGAAGATTTTTTTAACTCTCTCCTCGAATCTTTTAACAAATAAAGAAAAGAAAAAAAAATGAAATGAAATTTCTAATGAAATAGGGATTTATGTGTTAGGCTTCCTAGATAGTTGAGAAACTCCATTATTAGATGTAATCAATTTTGAGAGTATTTTCAAATTAAGTGGTCATTCCTTTTCTTCTTTTTTTTTTTTTGCTTTTTTTTCATTTTGGGGTTTGAGTTTTTTTGGCAAAACTTTTACACATTTGAGCCATTGATTTCTGATTTTTTTTTAAGTATTGAGCCATGAATTTCTAAAATTGCTTAATCAGATTAAGGTTTTGTTTACTTGACCTCTTGTTCTTTTTATTGACAAAGAAATATCCAAATTTGAATTTGAAAATTTGTGACGTTAATGGTGATATATATTTTAATAAAAAAAATTACTAGTATTAGAAGGTTTTTGTTAAAGCAAAAAAGATATGGTAACGTTTTTCAATCATATTTTAAGCTTTTTGAAAGTTTCTTATGAAATCCAACAATATTCAACATAAAAATTCCATTTCTATTAACATATTTTCCTATTTCCTTCAATTTTCTTTGGAAGATTGAAGAAAAAGAAAGTTCAACCTAAAAAATCCTCAATTCCTCATATAATTATTTTTTTACATAATTTATTGGTATTCAACGGTTTTTAAATTTTAAATTTTGCTTATTAATGAGGTATCAATTTATAATTGATTGGTAATGTATAAGATATATACATTGTTAATGTATCACATTAAATCCAATGATTAGAATGTAACAAAAATTAGTTAAAAGATAATTATTATTTCATATAAAAGTGAAATATTTTTTATTTATAAAAATTAATCCTTTTCATTTGAATTATATAAATAATTTTAATTTTATATACATGTTTTTTTTAATATTTGGTCATTAAAATTAAGTAATAAAAATAGATAACAACGAAGGTTACGTTTGATTGGTACTTCTATTTTTTTGCTATTGGTCCCTTTTTATCGGTTTTTTTTTTTTTCATTTTTTATTGTGAAAAACAAAAAGTTAAAAAAAAAAAAAAAAGCTTTGCATTTGTTATGCAGTTTAAAGGGCAACTTAGGGCAAATAATATTAAAGGGCATATCATAGATAAATTACTAGTGCCATATATTCAACTAAAAAAAGTTTGGATTTGTACAGTTTTATGCCAAACAAATAGACCAATTCAAGTAAGGGATGAATTCCGGAGCATATTGTTGCAGCAGGCCTCTACCTTCAGTCCTCATCAACATTTCAGAATGGAAAATGGTGGAATTGTCTTAGCCAGAGAATCTCCTGATAATAACATCACTCCAAGTTGTTTCCAACGACCATTAGATTTCAAAGCTACCTTTCCAAGGTAAGAATAACTCTTATCAATCCTAGTCAGCGATTGAAACGATCCAGAAGTTAATTTCTCAAGTCTAATTAATGCTGAAACTTAAATTGCTTCCTAATTTTATAGGCACCAATTACCAAATTCTTTCATAAGCAAAGCTAGTGGACAAGAAAATGGTTGCCCAAAACCAGCTGTCTTCTGCAGTCAAGGCCAGTCAAATGCAGTTCATGGAATGGATACGACCATGCGAATTGGACCCATTGGACTTGGCCGATTTCTTGAAGAGACGAGGTGGCATCCTTTTGAAAAGATCAGTAATAGATGGAAGGTTAATAATGGAAATATGAACAAGCTTTCTAATACCTGCTCACAATCTCCATCACATTATTTTTGCAAAAGACAAAGCTCATATGGGGGAGGCTACTCCACAAGGCCAACTGAAGGGAACCTTGGAAACACGAAAATGGTACTGGGGCAATTTGTTTCGGACAACCACGATTCCTTGAGCAAATACAATAGCTGTAGAGCAGATCTTGACGCCCCGTTTTTAGCTGAGGTAATCACTGCTGCTGGACTTTGGCAATATATATATATATATATATATAATGCCTATAATTACTAGTTAACAATAGTTAAAATTTTTATTTATAATAAATTATTGTATTTAATGCATTATTTTCATCAAGTTTAAAAGAAAAATAACACATTAATTACAAATTTTTTCTTTAAATATCACCCTAATGATCAATGTTAACATTTTTCATTAATAAAACTGCTTTTGAAATATTTTCTTTTTTTATTAATTTTTTTTTACCATTGTTTGAAATGCAGTTGCACCAAAATAAAATGACGAAAGACAAGGAATGGTTGCCTGATCTGCAGTTAAGACTAAGCCAAAGAACTGGAATAGATGATGAGAAGAACCATTTTAAAGGCACGCAGGAAATTAGCACCCAGCTTTCACTTTCTTAGCCTCAATATTTATCCAGGATAAAATCCACCACAAACAAGCAAAAAGATTCAGAAGAATTGTCCAAACTGAGTATCTTGTTCTACATACACAAATTAATATGTTGCAACAAGGCCGAATGAGGCTGTGTACTTAATTAAGGATCTGACCATATAAAAATAAACCCACAGGAAGTGAGATCTTTCTAAGTACTTGGCCTAGAGCCATTATAAGCATAGTGTTTGTTTTTTTATTTGAATCTTTTTGTTGTTAAATGAGTTTTGAATGAGATAGATCGAGTACTCAACCTTAGGAAGGTTTGCGATTGACATTTCGTTGAGTTTGCGGTATATATTTTCAAATTTTCACCAATATCATTCATGCATGAACGTTAGTGTTTTTACCTTGTAATTGAGATTCATGTTCATACATGCATGCATGATGAAACTAATGAACAGCTAACCCTAGCTAGAGTTTGGCTTGGGAAGAAACCCTAGCTAGGGACACAGGATGTTAAGTCACCATTGAGTAATACACAGAAATCACCTTTTTGATCATTTAGATTTAGTCATGGATCTGGGTTTGGATTAATTTAGCAGAGGGAACATGTGAAATTGAATTTTCTTGCGTTATCATTCTCAATTCCTGATGTCTTGTTCGCTAACGGCATGGACTCATGGCTATATGCAGCAATATTCGTCGGTTCTGTTGGAGTATACTGAAGAAAAAAGCTCCTTCAAGATTGCCGCCCAATATGATCCCTCATTCGCGTGCATGGCGGTCTTGGAAGTCTTCTAATTAGCCCTCAATCCTCAGTCTCCAAGACATGGTGGGTTCTTCTGTTTTCATTGATCATCATAAATTAATCACCCTTTTTCATGCGCAAGTCGTTTCTCGAAGTGCAGTACGCCATGTGGCCTTTATCTAGAATACTCAAATATAATGGTTTTAATGGAATTTTCTCTCTCTTTTTTTTTTTTTTTTTTTTATAGCAGGATGGACTTAGTGATTATCTTTATAAATAAAAAAAAAAAATAGTGCATTTATCCTAATTCTAGTTTGTAACGACTTAAACTAAACTTAGCCGGCATTTGAACACCGATGACATATAATGGTGTCACAGACAAATGCAACATCACTTAATTTTTAGTTTTGAGGATTTTTATTGCCTACTAATTACTCATCAACCAAAACAAATCTTTAAAATTTATTTCAGATAAAAAAAATATTATTAGACGGTGATATGATCGTTGAGTTACATATATTAAAAAAAATTATTAATTGCTATTATGAACCTTGTTTATATTCAATTTTTTTTTAAAAAAATAATTGATTTCGCTACAACGCGCATGCATGACATGAATTATATATATATATATATATATGATATATTTATATTCATTACCTCTACTATAAAAACTAGCTTCTTAAGATCAACAGGCCCATGAGTGATTTTGGCTCTGAAGAGTTGAGAGTCAAGACCCAAGACCGACTGTGATATATGGGCCCGTTGCTCTCTTTTTTCTTTTCTTTCCACGGTGAGAATGCGCACTTTGGGCAATGATGTCAGTTACTGATTGCAATGATGAAGCATCAGAAAACGCTATGAGTAAAAAAAACAAATGAGGTTACGGGCTTGAGGAATTGAAGCACCAGGAACGCCCAAAAGAGAAAATGGAAAAGGGCATGGGATTGGGTTCCCAAACCGCACACTACTACTTTCAAGTTTCAATTTTCGATCCTTTACCCGAAGCCATAATCAAATTTTAAGGTCGGGAACAGCATATTCATCTGAATTAGTGACAGAGGGCAAGTACGTTTTTCCCCTGGATGCATTTGTTTCTCCATCATATTAGAACTACCCAGGTAACAAGTATATATGAATGAATCGATTTTATATTTGTGTTGAAACTTTGGACAGTAAAGTCAGGAGCACATGAATTACTTTACCAATGAACTGCTGGTGGGATAAAGTTAAGCTATAATAATGGCAGACCAATAGTTTATTAATATATCTGAACAATGTGTGGTCCAATACTCCAAGTTCCCTATAGATTATAGAGCCTGCTATTTGAGATGAAAATGTTCAATATAGACTATAGAGCCTCCTATTTGAGATGAAAATGTTCAATTCTACTAGAAACCTATAACAAGTATGGTTGGCAACTGGTCGGATCAAAGTAAATTTTTGTTTGTCTCGAATTCGATCTGATTTTATTTTTATCAAACTTGAACTCAATTTGAAATTTTTTTTATTTTTTCATATCTGAACTTAACTCGATATTATATAAACTGTATTCGATCTGACTTGAAATTAATATAATATTATTTTTAAAATATAAATATTTAAATATATAATTATATAAAATATATATAAATAAATAATTAAAAAATAATTTTTATATAATATCGGGTAATATTAGATCAGGTTTACCTAAAACTCGAACTCGATTTTTTTCTTAACCTTACTTGACTCGATATCCGATTTTTTTTTTAAAAAAAAAAAAATCAACCCTATGAAATCAGGTCGGGTCAAAACCCGCCGAAACAGGTTAACAAGCATGTTTTATATCAAAGAACCTTTTATATCTAATAATTTTTCAGAACAATATGTGACTCCTGTGCAACATAAAACACAAGAACTACAAGATTTGAAGTTCAAAATAATATTTGTGGTCATTACAAGATTTGAATCTTACTTTTGGATGTACCAAATTTCCCAGCCTGCACTGATGGCTGATGTAGGGAAAAGAAAAAATGAACAACTACAAGCTTGACAAGGGAACAAGAGCTAACAAACCCACTTGCCTTCGTAAGATACAGGAAAATGGAAGGAGGGAAATTCCGGAAGGAAAAATGAATAAAAAAATGGTAGGGCTGCTGCAAATCTTAAACCAGCTCTAACCATGTTGAACCAAAACTGCTGAAACAAAGGCAGTGAATGCGGGAATTCAATGATGCCCTCTGCATTTTTAAGTTTTTGGATTTCTGGGAAAAGTGAGTACTAATTCCTGTTAAGGAAGCAAGTGTTAGTATTTACAAAATGAAACTCTCATCAGAGAAGACAACATCATTGTTAAAGAATGATAATATTACCTCAGAATAGCGTACGTGATCATGATGCAAGTAAGAAGTTTTGACAATTGTTTCCCACTTGGTATCAGTAGCAGGTATCATAGGTTCCCGTTTTTTAGGATTAAAACGAGTTCCATTGTAAGACTGCGAAAATGAATTTCTTGATGTAACAGAAGGCAGCGCACGCCAAAGCCAAGACTCAGATGGTGTTTTTGGTAAAGGAGGAGGAAGAGGAGAGTAATCAGAACCAGCCTTAGCTTCTCCTCGATCAGCTGCTCTCAAATCATCATCATCATCAATAAAAGTTAGATTTCCATCAGCCCTAACTTTTATAGGCTCAAAGGACTTGGCTTTTTGATCCAGTTCTCCATTCTGTCCGAAGTGATCTATCATTGTTGCTTGACCTCTGAGATCAGGTTTGTCAGAGAAAGAAGATCGAGTAGAATTCACCAGCCCTGTGATTTCATATTCTGATATGCCCTTCAAATCCAAAAGATCAAGACCTTTTATATCTTGAAGAGAAGATTCTACAGTAGCAGGTTCTTCCTGCATTCTCTTCACTACTAAGGTATCAGAGTGCTTTCCCGTGGAGTCCGTTTGGATATTGGAATCTGAGGAATTGGAATTTGAACTTGCAATTTCAGTAAAATTTACAGTATCTACATACAATGTTTTCTCAACTGCAGGGCTCAGAGAACCTAGCCCTTGTCTAGTGCTCTGATAGGGTACTAATTCCTGCGAGTTGTTATTGCTTTTGGTATACTTAACCAACATATTGGCTTTGAATTTCTCAGCTTCTTTAGGCATGCCAAGAAACCCCCCTCCACGGAAGGGAGATTGAGGTCTCTCTCTACGATAGGGAGAAATGCGAGCACCACCTGGAAGCCTTCTGGAGAGTGACCTGTTCACTATCTGCTGGTCATTTGAGCGCGCAAATTGATTTGATCCACATGTCAGCTTTTTCCCAATCTCAGGAATTCTAGGGGATTGAACTCCATTATCTGATTTGTCCTCTGGGAGCCAGGGCAATTGAACTGCACTGTCTGATTCGTTCTGTAGGAACCTGGGGGTTTGAACTCCACTATCTGATTTGTTCTTATGAACAACATCCCACGCATGCTGCAAAGATACAAAATAATAAATACAAAAGCCATTCATTCCAATCTCTAACACTTACAGAAAGAGCATTGAATAGTGATTTGAAGGAAAATGAAAAGATCCATACTAACCTTCTCAACAATTTGGCTGTTAGACTTCATATAAGTAGCTTTGCCTGGTTTTGCTACCTCCAGAGTAGAAGACATCGAAGAGTAAGTCCTAACTTTTAACCCTGGCACAGGACTTAAGAGGCACAGAGAGTTCTTAAAGCATAATCGAGGCAACAAGCCACAGGCTTTTCTTGATAAATTGCCTGAATCCTCGTAGTCATTGTATTCATCTTCTGTTTCTTCTTCATCTACATCCTGGTTATAATGTGGAATGATAATGGACTCAGATTGATTAACAGGAGGTTTCCTGTCCCCAACAACCACTTTCTTAACCTCTCTGTGTTGTTCAGGTGGCATAGATTGTTTCCTTGAGGCATACTGAGGTGTCACCAGAGTCATTGCCTTGGCAGCAGGTAAAAAGCGACTCATCATGAAATCCCAAGTTTGTGGATCTGTAGAGGATGTTCGTGATGGTTTTGCAACTGTGCCATCTGATCCACTTAGACCACTTATACTACAATTCATGGAGAATGAATCTGTTGGGGACAAGGTATCAAGAGCATCAGAATAGGCATCATCATCATTCTCAGAGTCTGAGATGCATTTCTCATTCATTCCCTCATTTGAACAATCTAATTTAGTCACATTATCATTCCTAGAGTATGCTTTGTTTTGGGGCCTAACCACATTCTGACTTTCAAAGTCTTTCTCCACAGGATACTTTATGACATCCAAAACCCTCCCTGGCGGAAGCCTAGGAGTACCAGAAGCTTCCTTTTTAGGCTGAAACTCATGCTCAATGCCACCTTTAGCTTTCCCAGGGATCTGCTCCCATACAAAAGGAACAGCAACAGGTTCTGTTACCTGATCCAAACTCACATCCGAGTTATAGAAGGGGAGAGTATGTCGTTTCGTGGGAGGAGAATTCTCTATTATATTCTGCTTATCTCTATTTGAGAAGGAAGATGTTGCAGAAAACCGCCTCACAGATAAAAGTGGTGCATTGAAATTTAATTTCCTTTCCTCCATCACACTTTACAATCAAGAAGTTCAGCAGCCTTCCTTCTAAATATGATTCACTAATTCAAAACATGACATAGCTGATGACAATTGTTGGATGAGAACACCATGGTAAATTCCTTCATGTCAAAAGTTTGCCAGAATACCTGAAAATATGCTAAGACTAATTATTTGAAGAACCTAAACTCACAGCAATGAGCATTCAATATACTTTACATCTCCCTAATCTCTGCTTAAACTAGATAAGCATGACAAAGTACACCAAAACAAGTAAATTTCAGAACATTTATGCTATGTAACCAAATCTTGAGTAATTATATAACAATACTTGAGAAAACCTTCAGTGCTCTCAGCTAATAGACTATGGAAAAGAAAGAAACAAAATGAGAAACATTGATGCTCCCCTCAGTGCCACCTAAACGTAATTGAACATTTGAATTTTGGAGAACCAAATTTGACATTATCTGGGATCTGACAACCAAAAATGCCCAATCAACGACCCCTACAGTATATCAAGGCTAGAAGTAAATACAGAATTCAATGTCTTCTATATCCTTAGAAGACAGGCAAAGATTTGAATTCCATTTAATAAAAAAGTGTAAATTTATAAGATAGGTGGACACATACATTAAATTCAGGCTATGAAAAATCAAATGAAAACGCATTGATTATATCATCTCAATTTTATCTACTCTGCCATATTGATTATTGGCATCACCAAGAAAAGTAAATCCTAGTAAAAAAAGATCAACAAACCTGATCAAGAACTTGGTAAAACCTTAAAGATAGTCATAAATAGTTCGACCTTACCAACAGAAAAAACTTCATGTACAACAAAAATCTCTAAACTAACACCACAACCCAAGATTTACCTCTTTTTCAAGATCGTTAAACCAAAAAAAAGAAAAGAAGAAGAAAATCTATGGAGAAAGTAAACAAGAATCTTTAGCTTTAACGTAAGCCCAGTATTCCTTTCAACCTTTAAACAACATAAACATTTCTTGAAGCAAGTAGCTTTTGCATAAAAAAGATCATTATCTGAAACAAAAGATAAGAAGATATACCTGTAACTGCGGAAGAGATAGCTGAGTTCTTTGATGTTTTGGGTTTTGGGTGTGTTCTAAAATGATGGCAAGAGTTTAGGGAATGAGTGAGGACAAAGAAAAGTAAAGAACGAATAGAAAGAGAGAGATTTGACGCTATTGGGGCTTTTCTTTGCTTGAGCTTTGCTTTCTATGTATTTTGCACTTGGAGTCGCAAGAGTGTAGATTCTACATAAGACTTTGAGAGGGATAAACTTTTCTGTTAAAAGCTTTGGGCTTTGGGTTTTGTGTATAACTGCATGTCGCGTTTGCATCCACGCGCCTTGATTTCCTTGTTCTTTTTTGCATAAAATAGTTTATACTTTCTTTTTTTCAAATTACACTAAAAATTTTAATATTTTGTCAAAATTTGAAATTTAATTTTTATAATTTAATTCATATAAATTTAATTTTTGTATTATTTTAATTTAATAATTTTAATCTAATTACTAGTTTCATCAAATTTTTTGTTGTTAAAAATATTCACGTGAGTATTAATTTTACTAACGTGATAATTTGGATGAAAAAGAATAATTGTCAAATTACGTAAATAATCTCTATATTCATATAAAATTTTAATTTTAATTTCTTTAATATAATTTTATAAAAATCTTATTCTCAAATAAGTTAAATTTGATAATATTAATCTAATTAATAATAAAATTTATATTTTTTATTTTTTAAAATTAGATTTTATTTTTTTGAAAAATAAATTTTTAAATTTGTTATTTTTTATACTTTTAAAATATTAAATTTAATATTTTTAAAAATCTTTTTTTTAAATTCAATATTTTGATTCGTTTTATAAACTTTTTAGATTTTTAAAAATATTAAATTTAAAATTTTAATATTTAATTTTTTTAGACTTCATTTTTTTAAGTTTTTATATTTTTTAAAATTTTAACATTTTATTTAAAAAAAATATTTAATTTATTATTTTTAATTCTTTGGAATTTTTATAAAATTTTCTATATTATTTTAATTTGTATATTTTTTACAAATTTATTTTTAATTTTTTATATTTTAAAAAGAGTATAAATTTTAAAAATTTTTACACATTTTTTATGTTATTCAATATAAATAAATTAGAATCCAAAGCTCTACGTATTAAGCTATTTCTTTGTTTTATCTTAATTTTTTATACTCTTTCACCTCATATATAGTAAAATAGAACAAATTATAAAAACTTATGTTTTCTTAATAGTTTATTTATTTGTTCATTTAAATATTAAAAAATATATAAATTTTTGAAAAAAAATAAAGATTAAATAATTTATAAAAAAATTTATAAAAATTTCAACAAATTAAAAACAAAAAATTATATATTAAATTAAATTAAATCTAAAAATTTCAAAAAAAATCAAAAAATGAATTTTATTTTTAAAATTTTAAAATTTTAAAAAAGTAAATCTAATATTATCAAAACATTTAGAAAATATCTAAAAAATTTGAATATTGAATTTTTTAAAAAAATAAAATATGATTTTAAAAATTAAAAAATATATGATTTTTAAAAAAAATGTAAATATCTAAAAAATATTAAATTTAATATGAAAATTTTTTAAAAAATTATAAATATTGATTTTTTTAAAAAAATTAAATTTTAATTTTTTAAAAAAAAGTAAAAAAATTAATAATTGAACTAAAATCTGATTTTAAAAAAATAAAAAAAAGACAAATTTAATAATAATTAAACTAACATTATTAAGTTTAATTTATATGATGATGATATTTTTATGAAATTTTATTAGAGATATTAAATTTTAAATTTTGTTTAAACACATGGATTATTCGAATAATTTAATAACTAATTTTATTCATTCAAATTATTATATTAATAAAATTAATACATATAAGCAAAATTAATACTCACATGATCAAGTTAATAATCACATCAATATTTTTAACGAATAAATTAATAAAATTAGTAATTAAATTAAAATTATTAAATTAAATAATATGATGATTAAATTTATATGAATTATAATATAAAAATTAAAATTTAAAATTCGACAAAGTATAAGACGTTTGTTTTGACTTTCTTTTTTTTTTATTAGTTACAAGCCGGGTAAAAAGAAACAGGGATAAACATTTTTGAATAATTCACTCAAGAAAAAGTAACATTTCCTAAATTTCATCACCAATAGAAACAATGGGGAAAACGATGATGAAAACTGGTTGATCTTGGTGGTAACAAAAACAAAAGAGACATGTAAAAGCAGAAGGAAAGCAAAGGCAACTTGATTGGATTTTGTCATAATTGAGGAGCGAAGGAAGGGTGTGGTCACGAGCAAACAGTTGGGGTTGGGAAGGAAACGTGACGGTTGTTAAGCCAACGGTCCTTTTTAACACTCCTACTCTTCTGCACCATTATTAGTCCAATTGGGGTATTATTGGGGCTGGGGATCGGAGTCGGGCCCACCCTTTCTTTTAAATTCAAAATTATGACTCGAGGCAGCATTAATCAGTCATTGTCCGTAATTTAATTTCCGAGTCTAGCTAACCCAGGCTTCACCCTTCACGTAAAGGCCGACACAGCTCGGGAAAAGTGCCCTACGTATAAATTGTCGACGTCCTTGTCTCATCTCTATCACTTTTTCTTCGATAACGTGACTGGTTTCTCCACTAGCTATTTCTTTTATTTTTTTCATTTGTATAGTATAGCACAAAATGTAAACATTTATTCTAACTTGGACTACTATTTCTGTGGGAGGAGTGACGTCATTTCAAACCTAAATGTAATTAAATAAAAAGAGTAACCAAAGTGGGTATTATTGAATCCAAGTTTTCCAAACTACTCAATTATAATGTTTCGATATTTAATTTTTTGTGTTTTGATTTTGGAAAAAAATTAAAAAGAAGGATACTTTATAAAGTATAATCATCTCACAATCACGTTCAGTGAAATTAACATGAAACACGTTTCTCGACATCTTACTTTGAATATTAATTCTAACAAATTAGCATGTGATGGTTTTATAATTATTATTGATTATTGCAATAATTTTTTTTTCACAATTGATATCGCAATTTAATTATAACAAGATCATGTGTTAAGTTTAAATTTTAAATTTATTGGAGATTGTTTTCAAAATTAATTATATAAATCAATTTGGTAACTACTACCCCACTCAAAATTTTCTTAAACAGTCGTCGAACTATTTTTATTTAATTTTTTAAAAATTCAATATCTGATTTTGAAAACAATTCGACACAAAATGCATGAATACTATAATTGATTGCTTCTTGACCGATAAAACAGCAGTGAACCCACCTCCAAAACCTAACTTCGTGGCAATCTTACGTTGGCCCATAAAAGCCCTTTTCGTATAGTCAAGATTTTGGCAAACCACTTTTTTCGCATATCTAGTAAAGTAGGCAGACCAGAATCCCCGGTGTAAACATAACCCCTGCAAAAGCTCTTTGTCGTCAAATTACTCAGAAACGTCTAAGTTATTCAAAATGGCCTAACTTTTGGTGGATTTGTCTCAATATATGCTCTAATTATCCTTAATCAGCGGCTACAAAACATGTGTTAGCTCATTTTTGTTAACCTATTATCATGTCTACCAGAAATCAGTCTTGAGATCTAGTGACTGCCAATCTTGACTCTATCTATACACTATGAGAAGTTAATATTAGTAAGAGACAAATATATATTCCATGGCACCAATCAAGAGTGGTGAGAATTTATTTGTGGAAATTTTTGCTTCTCACACATGGGGCATTTTCTCCATGGCCCCCAAAAAATTTATGAAATGATCTCGTTTGAGTTTCTTGTCCCATTTCCATCAATATATAAGCCAAATGTTAAATAGTTTTGAAGAGGGTTGAACACTTTGATTGCTTGTCTCCATTTTATATGATTCAATATCAAATTGGTCTTGTTTAGCTATAAGCCTATAACGTAGATATTCTAATTTTCTTGTAATTTTGTTTAGCATTAAAAAAGAGAGACGAATGCCCTTTATAATTTAGTTTGGTCATCTAATCTAACCAAAAATCATTTTCCATGTAACATCGTCCATGCTCCATGGAAGTGCTTTTACCTAAAATTTGCTGTGGGAGAAAGATGAGAAATTGTACCCCACCAGCACCACCCGATCCCCCAAGTCACACGCCGAGGTCGACATGTAGAGTCCATCCTCCAGCACCAGCCGCACGTTGATGGGGGGAGGCATTTTGAACCCTGAACCTCACTTTATCTTGTCTTGTTGTCCCCACCTACACTTTTTTTCTTCTTGCTACTGCGAACAAGGGAAGAGAAAGCTAAAGCCCAAAACTAAAAGCCTCGAACTAAATGATACACGACATGGTGATCTACCTGTCTTTGGGCTAACTTGTCTGAATCCAGGTCTTTACATATTAGACTACAGAAATTGGGCCTTAAGCCCCATTGGTTGACAAAATTTAAATTTCTTCAAACATTGATGTTTTATATATATATATATATATATATATATATATATATATATTCCCGTATATGAGGATTGCTTGTAAATGCGTTTAGTTGCGTGTAAAGACGTGAGAGTACTTAGCTAATAGTAATTGGTTCAATGACTATCATCTTAAATAAAGTGCTTGAATGTCCGGAGTTAAAAGAGATAAACTTTACAAGTTTGTACCAACTCTTTTATGATTTAAAGGATGATTTTTGTCATTAATTCATTAGAAATTCCAAAGAAAGTGGGGGATTTTGTAGAAAAATCACCACGTACACGTAATATTTACGAACAAAATAAAAAATTCAAATCAAGAATAAAAACACATAAATATATTTATTTTAGTCTAACTCAAAATGATCCACTTTAAACTTAATCAACTAACAAATAAATTTTTATAATTATGAGATTTTTGAAATGAGAAAAGTCACCAAAAATTTTTTCAAAACTTAACCCAAAATCTAATTATATTTTTTAATAGTCTACTCACTTAACTATTCTTTTGGTGTCTAACTATATAAAATTATCAAACAAAAAATAAAACATCTTATTTATAAATATGAAACCCTTATACATTTACTAAACTCTCGATATGAAATATAAAATAAACTCAAATTCACTTAACTTTCGATGTGAGATTATGAGATTTAAGGTAAATAACAACAAATTTTCCATTGATTTGAATCTTTAAACACTTCAACAATATCTGCAAAGCTGACATGCTTGCATTTTTTTCTTTTATCATAGGAATCTCAGCAATTGAGCTTCCATCAAGCATGTACAAGTGATTTTTTGCTATATTCCCTTATAGAATCACACTATCAT